ATTTATTGGTCTCTGTTTCCCTTTTTGCACCAGCATATCATTTATTACCCTCACTTTCTTTTAACTAAAAAAATTTGAAATCTTTTTCATAGATGGCTTCTGTAGTATATCTGGCTCTTTGGAGCTGCTTTAGAATTTATTGCTTTGCTACACAAAGACCCTCAAAAGACAGTCATATCTGAATGCTCACCTTAACTTTACACTGATAGTTACTTAGATCTCATTAAAATATCTATAACTTGTCTTAAAAGTAAAGAAAAAGGTTGCTTCTCTCTACTCATGACCATCTCTATTCTCGTCCCTGTTGTTATTATTACTTTCCCTTTCCACTGCTTTTATGCTATCACTGCTTTTGAGACTTTCACCTTCTCTTCTCTTTGCATTTGTTATTTCTGGTGTTAGCCAATTTTACTTTATTCTCTTCTTTTGGCTTCTGTTCTCTTCTGTCCTCTTGTATCCTCTTTTTTCTTCACCCTCTGCCCCTCTTCTCACATTGGATACAATACCACTTTTTTCTTCTCCCCATTTTCTTCCTCTCCACACTAAACCAGTCTTTCAATTTTTTTTCCTAACTAGACATGATGTAGAGTTAAGTATGTTCAACATTAGTCATTGTTTTATGAAAAAAGAAACTAAATTGTGGATGGTTCTTGACTGAATTTTTTCCATTGCTTAACAGCACTCAATAGAAGAAAGATTGTCTAGCTAACCTGAGCTGGATAGGGAATAGGCTAAGTGCATATGTAGGCTGAACAGTTGAGGCAAATGACTTGGAATTGTGTTGGATTGGCAGGATTGGTTGGTCCAGTTTTAAAAATCCATCTTAGGGAATCCGCATGTGAAAAAATGCAATTTGTATATAAAGTACGGGTTTTATTCTACAAATTAATGATCCTGACATACTATGTCATTTTTATTCTATCATTGTTACCTACCTGCTACTAGTAGTACTAAATAAGTATGCATTTATAGTGGATAATTTCCTTTCGGTGATATTTTACCAAAATTTATTTAGGAAATGTGATGAAAATTGGAATATAAAAGTAAGGCAATTCTATCTTCTAAACTTATTATAAATTAAATTATATAGTCCAGTTTTATTATTTAAAACCTTGTTAAATGGATCTATGCTTTCGTTTAATTGGTATAATAAGCTAGGGAATTTAGTTGCATTAGTGGGAAGGATGGAGGCAAAAGCCAATCAAATAACTAAAGTTCGAAAATATCAAGCCCAGGTAATTCAGTTTTCCTTCACTCGTTCCTAATGATTAAAAAAACAAGAGCAGTCTACGGCCATGCTACCCTGAACACACCTGATCTCAGAAGCTAAGCAGGGTCAGGCCTGGTTAGTACTTGGATGGGAGACCACCTAGGAAGACCAGGTGTGGTAGGCGTAAAAAATAAAAAAAAATAAGATATTGTAAACTGACAAGGTCCTTGCATTCTGTGAGGTCAACCAAAAGTTGCCTCGCCTAAAAGAAAAAAAAAAATTCAACTACTTCCTGACAGAAAGAAAGAATAACTATGGGTGGTGAACACACAATGCAATGTATATATATATGTGCCTTAGTGTTGAATTGTACACCTGAAACTTACTGTATTTCATTAACCAATGTTACCATAATTTAAAAAAAAAAAAATGAAGATGGAAAAAAAAATTCAACTACTTCATCCCATCAGTTACCAACACTCAGATTAGTGTTATTTTTCAGTAATGGCTTTTCTTAAGGTGTTGTGATTATTCAGTATTTGTATTGTATTCTCTATTCTTTGTGTTCATAACAGTACAGATCTTTAAAGCAATACAATAAAATAAACTTTCTGCGTAGAAAGAATTACTATGCTGAACAACTTACAAAGAAATAGAAAAGATCTATTGAAAATTAAACATTAGTAATAATTTTTAAAATTTAATATACTTATGTTTCTCACTGCCTTATTTCATATAAGAGAAAGATATTAAAATTTACTTGTTTATTTTTTCTTTTTTCAGGCAAAAGGCAGGATTGTGGTAATGCCAGGTATTTATTTATCTATCCATTCACTAGTGTTAACACTGAACGGTAGTGGAGGAAGAGCAAAGGAAGTGGGCAGTATGGGAAAAAGTATTAGTACATGGTGTTCAGAAAGAATACGTAATTTGATTAAAACATTTAAGATTGAAGATCTCTGCTGGAATTTAAAAAGTTTAGATAAGGAGGAGAACATTCCAGCAGGGATAAGCTCAGAGAAGAGCAAATAAAGAAGCAGTTTGGACTTGGGCTTTCTCCATGTTTGTTCTCCTATAGTGTAGAATTTTGTGGACGTGGATGTTCATCTCCGGTGAGGCACACCAAGTTTCAAGCTGCTACACTGTGTTAGGGCCAAATGTCCAAGTTGCTAACAAGGTGTAAGCAAACATTTAGGTAATATCTTTGGACAAATATAATACTCAGTTCCTGAGAGATCTCCAAATTCTTTGAGAACAATTGGGTCACTGTTAATAACTATAAGATCAATTATGTACATCATGGCTTATTAGAAATGCACAATTTTTAGAGAGTTATATAAGGTGACCTAGAATCAGAGAGAGATACATATAAAGACCATCTTAATTTTTTATTATTCTCTCAAACATATAAAAAAGTAGAAAATAGCATATACTCATTCCATAGATTTAACATTTTGCTTCATTTATCTCATCTTTTTTTATTCTGAGGTATTTTAAAGTTAAAGACATCATGACATTTTATTTTTATGCACCTTTAAAAAAATAAGGGCATTTTACTATAACCACAATATCATTATCACACCTATTAAAATAAACACTAATTCTTTAATACCATCTAATGCTCAGTCAATACTCTTCTTTCTCTAGTTGTCCCCAGCATGTATTTTATAGTGGATATGTTCAAACCAGGATCCCATCAAAGAATAAGTATTGTACTTAGTTTATCTTAATATTTTTAATATAAAAATTTTCCTTTTTCTTGCTTTAAAAAAATGACATTTAAAAAGTTTGGACTACTTACCCATAACATGTCTTACTTTCTGGATTTATCAAATTGTTTTCCTTTGATATTATTTAGCTTGTATTTCCTAGCCTTTGTATTTCTGATAAACTAGTAGGTAGATAATAAGCTTGATTAGATCCTGGTTAAATGTTTTTGGTAAGAACACGTAAAGGGCGATTCTCTATATATGATACTACATAACATCAGAAGGCATGCAGTATCTATTGTCTCACTACCACTGATGTCAGGACTGGCCAGAGGTCAAAATGGTGATAGCCAGATAAAGACCAACTTTTAAAAAGAGGTTAGATAGAGGGATAATGTCAGAATTTTAGGAAAACTGACCTGTAGCAAGTCCCTGAAACAGGAACAGAGAGAAAGCATCTTATCTCTCAAATTTAGACCCTTTATAGATAAGCAGGGAATATTAAAGAGACTTAACCAAGTGTGATGTACTTCCATTTAAGACTAAATGTGTTTAGTCTTGGCAACTCATAGCTAGACTTAAACAATTGTTAATATTAAGATTGCCTTTCCTTATGTAATTATTAAGTTATCTACTTTGTGCAAAGCATTACTTGAGATGCAGAATTACCCAAGAAACTACTTCCTCAAGAGGCTTAGTCTTAGGTGAGAAGATGTTATATACAAAAATATTTGTGATTATTTAACACAGCTTACCAAGCAAATGATAATTATATGCCAGGTTCTGTGGTAGTTGTGAAAACACAGAATGTGTATGAAGTAATCGTTTATCTTGAGGACCTCACAGAACAGATCTGTAAACCAATTATTACAATTTCATGTAAATAAGTAACCAAGAAGTAAAAATTCCTGGGTAAGTCAACTTGAATGTCTAAAGTACTCAACATTGGGAAATATAATTATCATAGTAGTTTCCCTCTGGGGACTTTTATAATGAAGCTTACAACATATGTAGGCTCCAGTTTTTTCATCTGTAAAGAGAGGATGTTGAACTAGTTGTCCTCTCAGGTTCCAACTGTGAAGATGTGTTAGTATGTATTTGGAAAATGTATTACCTATGTCATAAAGTTGCTGATAACTGAACAACATGGTTTCAGTGGCCAGATATTTTGTTATTTGTTAGAAGGAAATAACATATTTGTCTTTTAATCCTTACAATAAGCTTGTGAGGTAGGCAATTATCCCTTCTTTATTAGTGGAAAAAAAATGAGTCTCAGTGGTTTTAAGTAAGTTATCTAAGATCTATGGCTGCGAAGAGCTACAGTGGTGAAGCAAGGATTCCAATCTGAATCTGACTTCTCAGTCTATATTTTTTCTTCTACTTAGGACTTAGTGATGTTACTGTACTACTAAGAAAAAAAGTTAATGAGTCCGAAAGTCAGGTTACCTCAGCAACTTGAATAATTTGAAATACAAAGTACATATTTTATCAGTCATTAAAAAATATTTATTGAATACTTCTGTATCTTCAGAGAGAATATAAAAATGAGTAAACTAACTTTATATTTGTAATCTGGTATCAGCTGAGAATATGATATGTAAATATTTAAGAGATTGTTCATATAAACAAATGAGTCGTCAAAAAGTACTTGACTGTACAGTTTTAATAGATTCAGATTCTTCTGTGAAATGAAATTAAAAAATTGATATTATAATGAATGAACTGTAGAATACCTTGCATTATTCTTATTTAGAATGATATCAGTGTGGTCTTTGAATGCTGGGCCAGAGAACCTTGGAGGTTCTTTCAGACACACCTCTGAGGCTGTGCTTTTGTAGCTTTGTCCCCAAGCCTATCCTTCTGATTTAATTTGATTTTTCTTTAATTGAGGGGGAGCCAGAGGTAGCGTACTCAATGATATTCCTTGCCCTAGAGTAATCCTTTTAGATTTAATGTCTGTAATGTATAACATTGTTTTAAAAACCAATGGACATAGAAGATTCTGTCATATAGGTTTTATGACCTTATCAGTTGTTCTCCAGAATCTGTAGTTTACATTTTTCATCATGCCGTTCTAATCTCATTCTAGCTTAGTAAGGAGAGAATTATTCATGAATTAATAAGAAATTTCAGTTGGGGATTTGAGGTAGAGCAAGCAGTCATTATTATTCATTACATTTTATGCAAAATTCTACTTAATGTGTCACTTATTTTTTTTCCAACAGGGGGTGGTATAACGGACAGAAATCTACAAAGGATCCTTGAGGGTTCAGGTGCCGCAGAATTCCACTGTTCTGCTCGATCTGCTAGAGATTCAGGAATGAAATTTCGGTAAAAATGTATTCTTTGACTCATATAAGAAGGGATAGATTAATCTTTACTTTCCCAAATTGGAAAACCTTAGTTAATAGCATGATAAATGAGTGGAACATTGTGATTGATACATAAGTATTGCAGTTATCTTTGCAGTTCTCAACTGTAAAATGGTTCTTATCTTGCTTTAAATAAGCAGGCTTTTCTCAACATAGGCGAACCATTATATCATTGTCATTGCTGAACTTACACTAGTTAATAATTCATCATCTAAGCTTCTAAATGAGTCAGGTATGTATGTGTGTTCATTCACCTATTCTCTCCTTTAGCAAAGTTAGTAACTGTGGTGTAAGGATGGAAGAGTCATAGTTATTTTTATCCTTCCTACCTTTAATACTTGGTCTTCCCTCACTTGTGCTCTGTTTTCAGTTATTTTGAAATTATATCATCATTAAGGAATTGAAACTATTATGTCTTTTTTTTTTTATTATTATACTTGAGAGGACTCCTATAGCTTAATAGTTAGTAGTGATTATTTATAGATTGGGAAAAATGAAATGTAAAAGAAGCAAGAGCCTTAGAACATACATTTCTAGATATAAAATCAATTATATTGTCTGGTAGAGTTGGCTACTAGATATTTCAAGTAATTCATTAATAAAAATTATGAAATTTGGTAGTCCAGATTCCTTGACTTCACCCTGTAAAATGAAGTGCCAGTAGGAGGGCTTATTTAACAACTTGTATGATTATCTGTTCCTTTATTGTTTCTATTGCAGAAATTCTTCTGTTGTCATGGGAGCCTCTCTTTCTAGCTCAGAATATTCTATAAAGGTAACAGATGTGACCCAAGTAAGGACTTTGACTGCTATTGCAAAGAATATTCTGGTTTAGCCAGACCTCTCTGAGAGACATGAATATCACAGGATGAAGGCAGAAGAGCACTCTACAATTCTCTGTGACAAAGCTTTAACCTTCTCTGGTCAGGACGTCACGATGTTTGTTTTAAGTCTCACATGGCTGTGGAGAATGTTTCCAAGGAAAAGAAAAACTTGAAACAGAGCTACAATCACTCCCTTTGCTTAATCTTGCCATCTCCATCATCATGGTTAAATCTGGCCTATGCTTCTTCCACAGACAGGCTTAGTCTCCAGTGGAATTAATTGATGAACTGAGAAAATTCATCTTCAAGTTATGAATTTGGAGTGTGACTTAAGGGTCAATTTCATAGCACTATTTTGCTTTTTTATTTGTAAAATAAAAAATTTCCATTCTACTATGGCATAGTCTCTTATTTTTACCCTGAATAGTTTAACTGGATATGAGAGGGAAGATTTTTTTGTTTTGTTTCTTTTATTTTTCTCTATTATGTATTCATTGATATGTTGCCCTGGGCAAGATGCTAAGGATACAGAGTAAAATGGTGCAACATAAAAATTCCCAGATTTGAGAAGCAGGATATAAAAGTTCTCAGACTTTATAATAAAGACGGAAGTAATCTCTAATGTTCACCAGGTTACCTCTACCTCTGTTTGCAGAGAGAGAAATGGCTTAACTGTAAGGTTCATCTGACCATTTACAAAGACCTACAGTAAGAATTGTGAAGGTTAGGGAAGTTATCAAAATAGTTCTTTCTTTCAACTGAGGCTACAGATAGGGAGAATGGAATCTAGGAATGAAAGATGCTTTTCCTATGAGCAGGTCTCAAATGGTGAAGTTCATCACTAGCTTTATCTGTTACTTTCATATTTATAATATCATTTTATACTAACAACACACTGGTAATAGAACTTTTTTCTATTTTAGGAGAGTAACCGAAACATAATCTAAAGAGCTTGCTCTTGATCAGGAAGCTAATTAATGGAGCTTCTATGAATAGCATGCCCAGATTTGGGTACTAACTAATGTATATACTAAGAGCCTTGCCTTTTTTAAATGTGTCTCTTCTCTCACTTTTAAATCTTAGTTCCTATTCTCATTTTCCAGGTACAATATTAATGTGGAATATTTGCTTAAGTAATTTATGAAAAATGAGAGGCAAACTATTTAAAAACCAACAATGACCTCAGCACTTTCTTTTCTTCTTCAGACTATAACTAAAGATATCAAAAAAATGGTTTCATTATTGGCTTTGGAATATAGATACAGATATATAAATATCATATATACATGCACACACAGTAATATTTAGTATTTTGGCCTAACCCTCCCCCATGCTTGAGACTTCACTGCACGATATTCCAGAGATAAAAGCAGGCCATCTCTATTTTATTTAAACAGGTAGGAATCTGGGAGGTTGTGTGAATTGTACAAAGTTTAACAATGAGTTAATATTGTTTATGGGACTCGAATGATAGGCTACCAACCTCCAATCTTCTGCTTTAAGATGCTTCTGGTTTGTGGATGTGGTACAGAGAGCAATACTCCTGGGCAAATCAGGTACACCTGTGATGTCCTGGCTTCCCATATAAGCATGAGAAAGTTAATTTTTTGAACTTTAATTTCCTCATTTGCAAATCAGTAATAACAAGCATGGTTTCTAGTTAAATCATACAGTAAAGCACTCATCGATGTACATAGTAAGTACCTATTAATGTTACTGCTTTTCTTCTAGGTTATCTTTCTAGTATCAATCTTTGTTAGCTTAAAAGCCCTTCCCAGGAAGCCAGGCATTGAGTATTGAAGCCAACACTTTTTGCCCTATACCATGTAAATATTAAAGAGACATAAGGTAATGCCTTAATTTTATTTTTCTATACTTTAGTCCTGTTTTAAAATATTTACAGATTATTTCATGTGCATAAGTTTCTTTTCAACAATAAGTATTTTGAGGCTAGGGGGCCATGTCTTCATATTTTTACATATTTCCCATTACACCCATCATATTGTCTACTCATCGTGATTACTATGCTGGTGGGAAAAGAGCACCGTCTTTATTAATTTCGCTAAGTATCTTCTGTTTGATCCTCCAGATCCACTCTCCACTTTGCTCTGTAAACTGAATCCAGCAACATAAAAGAAATTACATACTATGACCAAGTAGGATTTATGCCAGGAATGCAAAGCTGATTTAACACCCAGTAATCAATGTAACACACCATATTGATAAAGTACAAAAATCGCACAAGCATCTTAACACACAAAAAGCGTTTGACAAAATCTAATACCCTTCATAATAAAAACACTCAACAAATTTGGAATAGACAGGAGCTTCCTCACTCTGATAAAGAGCATCTACCATAAACAAAAAAACACAGCTAACATCATACTTAATACTTATACCTAAGTTCAGACATAAAACAAGATGTCCACTCTCATCGCTTATAGTTAACATTGTACTAGAGGTCCTAGCCAGGGCTATTAGGAAAGAAAAAGAAATAAAAAGCATTCAAATTGGAAAGGAAAAAGTAAAGTGCTCTATTTACAGGTGACATGTTCTTGTATATAGAAAATTCTAAATAATAGATAACAAAAAATTAAGTTCAGCAAGGTTGCAGGATATAAAATTAATGTATAAAATCAATTGAATTGCTATGCACTAGCAATTAATAATCCTAAAATGCAATTAAGAAAACAATCCCATTTATTTAACATCAAAAGGATAAAATAAGAATAAATTTAACCAAAGAAGTGTAAGACTGTACACTGAAAACTACAAGAAATTGTTGAAAGAAATTTAGAAAGACTTAACAAATAAACATCCTCTATTCATAGATTGGAAGACAATAATGTTAAGATAGCAATTGATCTACAGATACAAGCAATCCCTAACAAAATCCTAACTGCCTTTTTTAAACAGAAATTGACAAGCTGACTCTAAAGTTCATCTGGAAATACAAGGGGCCCAGAATAGCCAAAAATCTTAAAAAAGAACAAAGTTGGAAGATTCACACTTCCTGATTTCAAAACTTACTACAAATCTACAGTAATCAAGACAATTTGATTCTGGAATAAAGTTGAATATATATAGATCAATGCAACAGACTTGAGAGTCCAGAAATCAATTTTGGTCACCCTACCAGCTCAGTGAAATTATCTTTGCCTCTTTTTTTGGTCTTCACCTCCCTGCCCTCATCCTGGAATTAGGAGGGAGGAATTGAATCCCAAGGAAAATGATAAAAAGAATAACACTTCTCCCTAGCAGTAGCTGGGCCCTGAGCCAAGAAAGGGGAGGAGATTTAAATTGGATATGTTTATTTTATGGGCGATAAAAATGTTTCAAAATTGCACAAATCTTTGAATATGCTAAAAACCATTGAATTGTATACTTTATGTGGGTGAATTACATGGAATTCATATCTCAATAAAGCTGTTCTTTTAAAAAATGAATGTGAGAGTGTTTTAAATTAGATTAGATTAGTCTGGGCCCTTGTAGGATCTGCCTGAGATTGTAATGGCCTGCTGAAATGTGAAAGGGTTAAAGAATAATTAAAACCTGAAACTGGACAAAGGAAGTCTATAACTTAGGCCTAGTTTCTGGAACCCCTAACCACATTCTGTTAATCATGAAACTTGTAACAATGAGCTCATACGCTAACTGCCAATTTTAGCCTGTGTAACCCTGCTTGCTTGCGTGGCATGAAAAAT